TCTCTCTCTCTCTCTATATATATATATATATATATATATATATATAGAGACCAAGAGTTTTTCGTGAGACCCGTCAAACCAATTTATATTCATTGATCAACTTTATAAACTAATGATCTAATGGTTTAAAGTTGCACGATGCCAATTTTGTGATTATTGAGAAGTCTCGTGGCGTTTATGAATGTTCAGATCTGACGATTGTAGATTTAATCTAAGGATTGAGAATTGGTCTTACGGGTCTCATGAAAAATCATTGGTCTCACATGAAAAATATATATATTAGAAGGGTACTCCTACAATACAATGAGATACATTTTTATTTTAATGTTCTGTTTTATTTTTTTGTCTTTGTTAGCATAATACAATTTATTTGGTTTTGAAAAAGATAATGTTTTTACTTTTGAATAAAAATAAATTTGAAGATATAATAAAATTTGAAAAAATATATCGATATTAATATCAAATTAAATATTTAAAAGTCTCAGTTTTTTTTTTGTACAATTTATTTAATTCAATTTTCTATTATAATTTAATTTAGGTCAAATAGTGAAGTAATTTAATTTTGACTTAATTTTTTTATAAAGATAATGATTATCCTAATCATATTTTAGATTTTTTATATTAAAAATTAGATGTTTATCCTATATTTGATTAGTTTTATCTACAGTTAGTTATACGAATTCAAAAATGGAGCTTTAATAAGTTGTACTTATGTATAATTTACGTATAATCTTAAATTTTAAGTAATATGCATTAATATACAATACTTCATTTTAAAAAACGATTTTTAAAAGTTTTTGTCAAATATTTTATAATATATTATAGATACCCTAAAATATTTGAAGAAATAAAAGTTCTGTTAGCAACGAGTCCTAAATTTATAACACTGGTTAGAATCATCATCATCATCATCGTCTTTATATTTAATACATATACATCATATATATACACACATCAATAACAGTAATTCAAACCAATATTAATATTTACCTTAATCTGTGTATATATTATATAAAGGCAGATTTAAACGAGAAGACATACATTTTACAAGAAGATAAGACGAAATTCTGATCGACCATCTAATTTAATATATGTGATATATATTAAGACAATTCTTATGTGATTGGAATAGAATAGAATGATATGATAATAATCATGTGTGATATATAAGTGTTGGTTATATATGATTATTGAAATACCCATTTGATTTTTTAAGATCGTGTGTTCACATCATCACATATGATTATTCTTGCCTTTTAAGTATATGTGGTATTAAATTAACACATGTGAATGTGATCATGACATTTATCATGGTTTTATTAAAAAGGTTGAATAATCACATATCATAAAAAAATTCGTTAATGCCGTATTTAATTGGGCAATAATCATATCTGTTTGTTAGAATACCAAATTATTTTTTATGCATCAAGTACCACTTATTAATGTATATTATTTAATATTCAAGATTACAAGTTGGTTAAATATAAGTATAATTTATTAAACTTCATGTTTGAGTTCGTCTAATTAATTGTAGATAAGCACTACTAAGCCTAAAATATCTAAAATTTTAAAACTCTACCGATAAACACAAGAAAATCCGAGATAGAACACTTCATTTTTATTTTTTTCACTAAAGTATATTATATTTTTGATTTTAAATATAAAATGTCTTAAATATATTTATCATTTAAATTAAATAATCATTGAGTCCTAACAAAGTACATAATTATTATATTTATAAAAAAATTATATTATTAAACCTAAAATAAATTATTTCGTTATTAAACCTAAATTAAATTATAAAAAAAAAAATTGAACTAACAAAATTATACAAACAAAACGAAAACTTCTCAACTTTTATTTGATACTAATATCGATATAAATTTTTATGAGGTCTTCAAATTTATATTTTATTCAAATATAAAAACATTATCGTTTTTCTTAAAACTATACAAAACCGTATTATACAATCGATAAAAACAAATAATAAAACAAAACATTGAATTATCTCGATGTATTGCATGAGTATGCTTCTAGTTAATTATATATATATATATATATATATATATTCTTTAAAAAAACGATAGAAATGTGAAGAAATAACACAATGTCTCCTCACCTAACAGGTTTTTAATAGTGTTCGAGTGCGCACCGAATCCAAACATTTTGCAAAAACTACATAATTTTAAACCCTAAGAATAAAAATCATTATAAATAAAATAAAATAAAATAATGCCACGCACCTATAACATCGTTCTTTATTAAATAAATATTATTAAAATTAAATTCTTTGTGCAACAACACAAAAAGCTAGTAGTGATTCGTTCCAATAATCCAATGTCATTTTCTATTTATTAATTAAATCCTACCTCTTTATTTATTTATTTATTATAAAATTAATGATAAAAATAAATAAATAGATTATTACTCCTTTCAAATCAAACTTTTTCTTTTAAATTATATGTTATTGATTATAATTATCATATCATTCATAATGGTTTTTAGGCCATTTCTCAATTTTCAAAATTATTTGGTTTTGGTATTTTTTTTATTAACCTGGATTTCTAACCCGTTATGTGAGTCGGCTGATCGCAGGACGACCATCTGTTTTGCAAATAACCCGGAGTCACCGCATTTGAACTTCCGTCACCACAAGAGGATTTTTATTCCTCATTGGATTTGAACTTGGGACCTCCTGGTATTTTTGACCTTTGGAGCTACGCTCAAACCAATCAGGCACCACCCTTTTGACCTCCTGGTTATTTTTTTTTTCAAAATTTAAGATGTATATATATAATGTAATTAAAATTTCTCAGATATAAATCGATTAATGGCTCTTTGACGACATTTTTTACATGTTGTCAAGTATTCAATACCTTACATTATTGATATGCAGCTTGTTTTTCTCTTATGGTTCAGAATAAAACAGAAAACAACCTATCCAAAAAGGATTCGGGATCAACTTTTCGATTTGAAATCAGTTAGTTTCTTATCTTTAAAATCAGTCAAATCGTTATTTCTTTAGTTAAAGATTAACGTGACATGACGAAGTGACGAGTCAATTAAATAAGCAGAAAACAAATCTATTATCCAACCACATTATTATGTCACGTTATCACATGGTAAGTTTGATAATATCTGTAATGAATGTCATGTATTTTTAGTCAAAATATTGACATTGTCCCTTTCCATTTATGGACATAGAAATTTAATTTGAGAATGCACTTTTGTAACAAATACAACAAATATCTACGCGTGTGTATTCTGAACATTTATTGTTACGTGACAAAACATAATCAGTTTCCTTGATATATATACGTATTTACACATATATCTGTCCAAATGAAACTTGGAAAAGAAGGGTAGAAAAGGAAACACAAAACTGTGGGTAATCAAAATCTTTGTTGCTTTGAAGACTACACAAAACAATGTTGCTTTCCTTGAGGTAGGCTTTAAGGACTTTACAATATTGTGCCCATATGTACAATCACCAAAATGCCCCCACACATACTCATTAATAGAGTCAAGGAGACACATTTAATTGACCACATCTACCCTTCTCCTTTCATATAGCCAAATTTTAACCTCAACCCAAATGTTTCCCATTGAGGGTAAAAACATGTCACAAATCACACTTGTATCTACCATAAGAATGCAATATCTTTGAAGGGTATGTTTGTCAATCTTTATTCTACATGGTATATTATGCATGAAACACAGTCTTCTATGATTGTATACTGTAATCCTTGAAATACGTTTTATATAGATTTGCTAACGAATAGATTGTATCTAAAAGAGTTGGCATACAACAAATCACGTAAACATACGTCATATGAAAAACAGTAAAAATATATGTTGATCTATATATTCATCAGAAGAATCATCATAAATGACAACAATTAAAACTTAAATTAATGATTGTGAAACTGACCTCACATGGTAGTAACATTCATTCAATACGGAGGAAATCAGAATTTTACATGAATATCATATACCTACATAAAGAAACAGAATAACGCTACAGTGAACCTAATATACTTTATCTAACAGTCGTTAAAACTATATCTCATAAATCAAGATTTTCATTATTTATATACCAACGTGACGTTGCTAATTTATTGAGAATAAAAAAAATAAAACCTGATATTGTCATTTATAAATCAGACATTCAAATAATAATGTAACAAACCAATCAACTTCAAAAATATGTAATATCATATTTGTACACATTTATTTACTTTTTGGTCCCACCTATTAAATTCACCATATGTTTCCTTTCCTCTATTGGATTCATATTCCCTTTTTATTTATCCTATCAATTAAAATATAACTCTTTTACGCGCTTAAAAAATATAATATTTTAATTCATTTGTTTTCTTATTTTAATCAAATCTACAAATATAATAATATTATCAAAGTCATATTTTACAAGCGTAAACGATTTTAGGGGCTGTTTATCAAACACTTACTTGGTAAACGTTTAACTGTAAAATTATATATTATCATTTACTTACCGGATAAGATTTTAGTTAACAAAAACGATATCTTATACAACAATTTACCCGGTAAAAACTAACCATGGTAAGAGTCATCGCTCACATTTATGGGTAAAACTCTTGGACCTTGTCTCGTTCTTATCGAGTAAGATTTTTGGTCCTTACTATATTCATCCCGTAAGATAATATAACTTAGTAAACGTAAGGCCGCGACGTTTCTTAAGACATGACTTATAACGACAAATCTTTATATCATATAAATTATTATACATATAAAAACATATATTTCAAGTATATCATAATATATTATTTCTTAAATCATGTTAAATATTAGTTTTTATTTATATAAAAAATTATCATCAAAATTGTAATAGCCATCACACTACCCCCATGTACCCCCACCCCACCCCTCACCTCACCTCCCTCCATTTATACACCTTCATACCACTCTTTCCAACTACTCTCTCTCTCTACATCTCTCTTTCTCTCTCTAGTTTTTACTTTATGGGGTTTTTGTGGCTATTTTCAGTTGTTTTCATACTCACTGGACCATCAGTGAGCAATGGTGGCTACTGGCCACCTTCACCTGGGTTCTACCCAAGCTCAAAGTTCAGGTCCATGACCTTTAACCAAGGCTTCAGAAACCTTTGGGGTCCCAACCACCAGACCATCAACAACAATGCCCTAGCCATCTGGCTCGACCGTACATCAGGTCTCTTTAATTTCCCATATTTTCATTTTATTTACTTTCAATAATTAATTTTTTTTTAAAAATTCAATACTTACCGGAAACTTGAACATTTTCTTGATCACTACAGGAAGCGGGTTCAAGTCGGTGAAACCCTTCCGATCCGGCTACTTCGGAGCATCCATCAAACTTCAACCGGGTTATACTGCTGGAGTCATAACAGCATTCTACGTGAGCATACATACATATACTTATATATATATGGTTACATATACATACATACGTGTATATATATACATATATAATCATTGCATATATCATATTGGTACAAACTGTTAGAGCTCATGGTACAACACTTTGTTCCATCCCTAATACTTTTCTACTTATCGACGATACGTCACATCCTTAACTTTTTCCTTTTTATAAGCTTTTTGTTTTGGATCCAAAAGACGCGGTTAGTATGGGTCGTTCCAAACATAAAACGAGCAACCAATCGTATTGCATGGTCCGAAAGAGTAAAATACACGTTCGGGAATTGTGTCATTAGGGTTTGTAGAATCTATACGTACCGACCGATAGAAATTGACATTCTTTTCTACAAAGTTCGGAATAATAAAAAGATTCTATTCGCTTATAACATAATAATCTTATAATACTTTTATTAATACATTTAAAAAAAATACTTAATAGCCGTTTACCAAAAACTTACTCAATAAGTGCTTACCGGCAAAATTTGACAATATTATTTACTTATCGGGTAAGATTTTAGTCCATCAAAACAACATCATATGCAATATTTGCCCGATAAGGTCTTACCATGATAAGAAGTGTCGTCTTCACTTACTGGGTAAGACTCTTGTTTCTTGTCTCGTTCTTACCGGGTAAGATTATTGGTCCTTGCCACATTCATCTGGTAAGGTAATGTAACATGATAAGTGCTTACATGAGTAATAGCTGTTAATCAAATATTTAAACATGATTTTAGAAACAATCATTTGTGACCACCAACAATCATTCAAATGATGGTTTAAATATGAATTATGACACAAAACCCCAAAATTAAATACATTGTCTTGGAGTATACATAGATTCTTCTTGTTTTTCACTTTAAATATTGAACCTTTTTTATAACAGATCTTTTTTAATTAAGCTGGATATACAACTCGTTGTACGAAAGATTAACTAGCTTCGTCTGGGTTCAGATATATTTCACCTATATTATTACATTTCCTGATACAGGGACCCACAAATCCAAAAAAATCTGATAACATATTTACGAACATCTATTTTCAAGATATTAATATTGTCAATCTCACCAAAGAGTATTTGACCTAACAGTATCGTAGTTTTTGGCCTCCTAGGAGGTCAGAGGTTCAAATCTCACTAAATGTAAGAAAAGTGTGTGAGTTTATTTGTTGCATTTGCCAGTGTGAATTGTAAATGCAGCTATCAAACAATGAAGCACATCCAGGGTTCCATGATGAAGTGGACATAGAATTCCTTGGAACAACATTTGGGAAACCATACACATTGCAAACAAATGTGTACATAAGAGGAAGCGGAGATGGCAAGATTATTGGAAGAGAGATGAAATTCCATTTATGGTTTGACCCCACCAAAAATTTTCATCACTATGCAATCTTGTGGACCCCTTCTCATATCATGTAAGTTTTCTTACTTTTAATTATTATATTTTATTTATTATATTATATTATATAATTTGTCAAACATATGCAAACTATGACTATGTTTGATAAAATAAATGATAAACTAGTCATGTTTGATAAAAACTAGCTGATAAATTATGATATGACAAAGTGTCTTGAAAAGATCTGTTGTATGCAATTCTGACATATGACCATTATTGGGGAAAATGAAAAGTTATTGACACGTCATTTCAAGTTGATTTTTAAGACTCTGTACCAGATGTTTTTTTTCTTCTTCAATGAACTTAGAAGAATAAGGTATCATATGGTTACCGGACATGGTTTGTAAGTTCTAACAAATTCTTTGGGTGAATGATTTTGTAGATTTTTTGTTGACGATGTGCCGATTAGAAGGTATCTAAGGAAAAGTGCGGCAACGTTTCCGTTAAGGCCAATGTGGTTATACGGCTCCATTTGGGACGCGTCCTCTTGGGCCACTGAAGACGGTAAATACAAAGCCGACTATAGGTACCAACCATTCGTTGGAAGGTTCACCAACTTCAAAGCATCGGGTTGCTCTGCCTACTCAGCACCACGGTGCCACCCTGTGACCGCCTCCCCAGGACGGTCCGGGAGGCTTAGCAGGAGGCAGACTACGGTCATGAAATGGGTACAAAGCCGTTACATGGTTTATAACTATTGCTGGGACAACAAAAGGGACCATTCCTTGACACCAGAATGCTGGAAATAAGTGATTGGACCATTTTACCCCCCATACAACTTAAGGGCACATGGGTCTTTTGTAGCCTTTAAGTGAAGGGCACTTTTTTTTAGGGTCCTTTTTTTCTATAGGGTGTGTTGAGATGGGTCCACAAAGGTTGGTTCAGCATCCAAAGCCCTCTGGAACAGCAAACAGCTTTTTATTGTGTGGTATTTTTTATGATTTAAGGAGGGGTGGGGATTTAAAAAATCACATAAATTGTAATTTTTATCATCGATTTATCGTATTTCAATATAATAAAAAGTATACGTGTTTTCCGATAATCATATCATTGATACATGACTTCTAATATCATGTACCAGCTAAGTTTAGATAGTTGATACAGTACTATCAACCAATTAGTTTGGTAATTGGTACGGTTTGTACATGAATTTGTTAGTTTGTCTTGGTATAAAATTGATATCCGTAGTAATCAATATGGAGCTTTGGGTTCTTTCTCGTCTTTCTTGAAGGTGGTTTTTGTCGGCTTCACAGGAGGTAGTTGTTGAGGTTGTTTCTTATTATCTTCATTGTTGTTAGATTGGATGGTATTGTCGTTGTCATTGGTCTTTTTAGCTGCCGGAGAAATAAGTTCCACTTTTTCTTAGTTTTTTTTCTTGGCCTTCTGCCGGAGTTTGTTGTTTTTGCGGTTTTTGCCGGCTTCTAAGGAGGTGGAAGTATGATTCGATGAAAATGTCTTTTAGATTTCCATAGCGGACGCAATATTTTCCGGCGGAGAAGACAATCATGGAATCTGTAACCTGAAATAGATAATAATATATTTATCGATGAAATTTAAAAACATTTCTTCCAAAACTACCCTTCCCTTGATTTCAAATTCAAAATTCTCTTTGATTCATATCAACCGTTAATCATAACAATGGATGATCTAGATGAGTTTGTGTTGTTTGCAACCTTTGGATTTTATATACGTGTGTGTATGTATATATATATAGGGGCTTAATCAAATTAGAACTGTTTTGTTTGTGATAATCGTGAGATCCAATCTCAACCAATCATTTTAATATATTAATTATTCTTTTTAAATTAATGTAAAAGGGCATGTTAGTAAATTACTAAATTTAGATTAAATATTTATTTATTTATTTCATATGTTTCAAACTTCCGATTAAATTTGATTTTACATTCCTAAATTACTACATGAAACCACAATCTTTTGTGTAGCACATGAAACCACAATCTTTTTTACCACAATGTAACACAACACTTTGTGTTACCTAATACATTATTGGTATTATAACACCTTGTCCCGCATCAGTAACTATTGGAATTTGTAGCCCCTTATGACTTATGAGTTTTTGGTTGTAGGCTACCAAAGAATTCTCACAAATGGGTTTAGTGGTTTGGAGGTTGTCATGTATGGTTTGCTACCAAAGAATTTTCACCATGGGTTTAGTGGTTTGGGTAGCACATGAAACCACAATCTTTTTTACCACAATGTAACACAACATGTTCAACCAAAGCCTACAAATTGTTTTCCACCTCTTCTCGCACAACCAACAGGATCTTTTGTGTTTTTTGTTTTAATTTGATGAAATGTAATTTTAGAAGATTAACGGATTTCTGGGGCACTCAAAATAGTCTCATTAAATTAAAAAAAATTGACCCTTTTGCCCTTATTTACATACTCACATTAAATATTGGAGAATTATTTTTGGAATTTCAGTAATTAATTTTTCTTTTATTTTCAACCATTGATTATTAATTTGTGTGGTTGAGATTGGATCTCACGGTTATCTTAAACAACTTAGTTCTTCCTTGAATGAACCCCTATATATAATGTTTGTTTCACAATGTGAATATTTTCTTTTATGTTTTTGTGAAATAAAAAAAGTTTCACATTGTGAACCGAATACACATGAAAAAAAAACACATTGTGAAACAAATATATGTTGATCAATATATTAAATTTTAGCCTTATATGAGAAAAGAATATGTGAAACAATACCTTATGATAATAATTCTCACAATTATTACAATATATTGGGGTTCTCATATGGTTATATATAGGGCTGTATTCAAATAAGAACATATCAAAACAAGAAAACACGAGAACATATATATCACAAATAATTATATTTATGTATATATATACATATTAATACATAATGATATCGTTAATATGTTTTTACATGGTTATGGCAATACATGGTTCTAACATTAAATCTTTTGTAAACAAACCGTTGTAATATTTAATATCAAACTATTTTTATTTTCTTATTATACAAATTATGGAATGAAGTTTTCAATACATGACAATAACGAAACAGAGTTGGGTTTCCGGTTTAAAAGGAAGTTATGGTGAGAAACGTAAGAAAAGATCTTCATTCATGGATCAATCATAATTGAATGCCAACACTAATGAGATGCACCGAAATGTATCGAATCAAATTTCCTTCTAAAACACAATTCATAAGTAGGCATGAGATTAAAAGTGGTCAGATATCTTCTTAAATAACTTTCTTTTTCACATGATTATATTTATTGAACATGTATGTTTTCATGATTAAAGTCAAGGAATAGAAATCATATAATATAGAAGGCAATTGAAGTTGTTTGAAAAAGGTTAAATAGGCCAACAAAGTGTAAAAATACCATTCAACCTTAAAAGTCAATGTCATACCAAATTTGGCAAAAAAGATGGAGAAAGGTGAAATGATCTTTAATTCGAATTTAAATCGAAAATCTTTAAGTGAAAAATAATATAAAGTTCTAGTGATAAAATATAAAAAGCAAATTTAAATTTCATTTTGCACTTAAATTTTTAGAAATAGGCATAAAAAATTTCTTTTGTAGAGCTCATACAAACCAACCACACCTGCCTCAACGACACTCACCCTTGTCATTGACCACCTTAGGCAGTGGCGGATCCAGGATTTTGGTCTAGTGGGGGCACCTTTAAGGTAGCTTAAACACCCACAAAGTCGTCCGATGTGTTTTTAGCCTTATTCCACCATTCCAAGAGATTTTTGAAGTTTTTTGGATTATTTCGAGGGATTTTTTAAGGGTTTTTTTTTTTTTTTTATCAATTTCGAGGAACTTTTCAGTTTTTTGGTTGATTTTAAGATACTTTCTTTAGTTGGTGGGGGCCTAACAAGAATTTACGGAGGAAAACCATGGTAGAAAGTAAAAAAAACAACTTTTACCCTTAGAAAATTCATTTTTTTAATTTTTTAATGGGGGCCTTTCCCCCCACCTTTTACAAGGTAGATCCGCCCCTGACCTTAGGGTCCCTTGCCTCATACCCACATCGCCCCTCCCCACCGTCTGCTCCTACTAACAATGTTGCCTTTCCCCGACACCGACTATACCCATCCTTGCCACCCCTTGGTCTTCCCCTCTTTCTCGACGACCTACCTCTCTCTGGGATCGCTCTTCGCTTGTCAACTTCTTCTACCATCTCGACTCTTGTTGTCGGTGAAACAACTCTCTCTGCCTGAATTTGGTGGAAATGACATCCTTCGAAGTTTTTATTCATCATTGAATTTGAAACTTTTTGTAAATTAATATTGGGCCTACTGTGTATGAATGTAGAAAGAGATTTTACTGGGAATTTCAAAAGAGAACAAAAGTTGAACCTACTATGGTCCCTAAATAATAAAGAATGATGGGGCCATTGATACAGAGCTCTTTGAACTATTTGAAGGTGTAATGTAGTCTTGAAACAAGTGGATATGGTAAGGTCAAGTCCAAATCTCCCCTACCCTCTTTTTTGGGCATATTGCATCTTCTATTTTAGAATACGTGTGTTAAAACACATGATGAATACGACTCTCTGAAATAAAAGTGATAATGTGGGACACTGTTATATCACTCACACTTATTTCACTAAACCAAAGCCTTCTTGCATCACGTTAACACCATGGACAAGGACGTATTGGTCAAAAAAAAAGCTTGATGAGACTGCTCGTGTCTTATTTTGTGAACAATCTGGATGTGTCAATGCAAATAGAGGTTCTAATGGTTATTTTATGCTACTCTACTCATACATGTATAACGAACTTGGTGAGAGTTATTAATTAATTATTATACGTCATAATCTCTTATTTTATATATAAGCAGTGTAAAAAAAATGATATGATCATTTTGTATACTAATACAAAATGTAAAAAACCATCGATGTGAGCTCAACATGCATTTCACTAGGAAAGGTTCATAACTCTAGTTTTCTTTCGACCACATGGTAAAAAGAGTGGTCTTTTGAATGATTATATTCCAAAAGTTGCAAGTGTTGATAAAATGCTTATGACTACAGATGTCACTTCGAACAATAATAACAACATGTGTGTGTGTGTGTGTGTATATATATATATATAGGTGTAGGTTCAAACGAGAACATCTCAATTTTGTAAAAACCCAAGAACACATTTATCACATGTGATGATAAACGTCAGGGGATGTGGTCTAGCTCATGCCAAAGGTTGTTTGCGCCTCTGATTTAATATCACATATGATAGATTATAGTATTACATCAAGAACACTTTCATCACATATGGTAATACATGTAATATGGCCTAGTTGTGTGCGGACGACTTGCCTCGCGATCTAGGTCGTGCCAAAGATCGTCTGCATCTCCGTATCTAGTATCACATACGATGGAATATTGCATCATATGAGATTCACTATAGTAAAAGGATATTTATGTTTTCGTAAAATAAATGTGTTCTTGTTTGAACTCCCCTCTGTCCCTATACATAGATATGATTGAAGGACAAGTAAGGTTGTAAATAATAGAATGAAATTGGGACTGAATGGAGTGGTTAAGATATCATATCAGCCATTCAGCCATTCAATTATATGATGAAGGTGTAAATGGAATTAATGGATGTGGACCATGTGGATGCAGCAGAGTCATGTCCAAAATGTACATCAGTATTATATATATGGTTGGATACCATGTCTATCATCATATGTCAAGTGGACCTCAATTTTACCTTGTGAAAAGTATACTTGTTCTAAGCAGCATGGCCATTTTCAAATATTAATTGTTATCTATTAAATATAATATATAATTTTTTTAAATAAGTATTATATTTTTTTTATGAATAAAATATTTATTCTAAAAAAGAATTCAGATTTATTTAAGAAATATGTTACTCTATAATATTTAATTTATATATAATTTAATAAGAGTAAAAAATCTTGAAAGGTTTTTTAAAGAGAAGGATGAAAAACGTAACTTGAATGGAATATGAATAACCAGGAGTACGTCAAAAATACAGGGTTTATTTAACTTGTAAAGATTCAAGTCTCCGATGTCTCTCCGTCATCAGTAGCTAAAACCAAAAAATGGAGGCAATTACTATAAAAAAATATAGAAGGTTCTTTTTTATTTACATTTATGTCATGTAATTAAAATGACGTGTTATTCATGTCACCTTATTTAAGCTATATAAGCAAAAAAAAAAAAAGGATGGGAATAATTGTTTAAACGGTAACAACTAACAAGTTATCTATTGTTATAATTGATAGATTTTTCAAAATAGAATGCCGTGATAAAGAATATTTTAAAAATATATTATTTAAATTATATTAAATTTTTTGTAAAAATAGATTTATATTTGAGGGTCACGCATTTATCTTTTAAAAATATTCGTCATATGATTACTGAATGACTTGATTGGTAATTAGAAGTAGAATAAATTACATTTTTGGTCCTTCTATTTTGTAAAAAAATTCAAAAATGGTTTATGTGCTTCAAGAAGTCCATAAATAGTCATGCATTTTTCCTTGAAAATAGTCCCTAATACCAAAATTATTAAAAATGTTTTTTAAGTTAGGAGCATTTTGGTCTTTTTATTCATTTTTGCAATTTTAGCCTTATATTCATAGTCTTATCTGAAACAACTTATATTTTTCTACAAAAGCACTTATTAACTTATTATAAGTCAGAAGAGTTTAACTTCTTCAAAAACTCCTTATTTCTGGTTTGACATTGGTATAAATTATTTATCCAAACACTCAAAAATGCTTATTACCGATGACACACCGAAATAAGTCAATAAATTGTTTTTATAAGCAATCCCAAACACCCCTTGGTCTTGGGAAAAAATGGACTTAACTACACAAACGTGTTTAAGATGATGAGGAATCAATCTCCTTAAACCTAACATACACATGCTCCCACTGCCAATGCACCCAAAACTGATCATGTTATAACAGATTGTGTGACATTTCATCAAACACTTGATGCACATTCCCTCAAAACAAAACCATCATGATTTATTACTTTCAGATATTTTATCAAACACTATATAAGCATAATCATAATACCCGCCCCTTTAAAAAATATCGTCGCATTCCAACGAATTTATGTCTCTTGTTGCCATTTCACGAGCATACTCGATGTTTGATGTACACACCTGAATGAATGAATATGTAATGAAGGAAGTGGGTCGAAACCCCATCTCCGCTTATCTTCTAAAATCAGTAGCTCAAACCCAGTTGAAGACCAAGTGCCGCATGTACCACAAACAATGTCATAATCCCGCTCCCTAAGATCCCATGAACATTTCGTAGCCCCGGATTTCCCTGAATTTTAATCAAATTACCAAACGTAAATAAATCACCAATAACCATTTATTGTAAATGGGTGAAGCATTACACATAGTATCGTATGTATCCTACCCCAAGTCATAAATGATGAATTAAAAATGCTCCCATCAAATTGCTTTTAGTGCTCGTTTTAAATCCGTCATTCAGGTTAGTTAATTTGACGGAATCTAAACGAAAACAGTTGAATTGATATGATAATGGAAGTACGGGTATGTAACTGATAAATCTTTGCTATAGAATAGGGGTTACCTCGAATAATGTGGGCAATGCTGTTTGTATGGCCAAAAGGGTTAGACCGATCAACCCTGTCACGGCATGAGGACTACAAGAAACCAAATAAAATGTTGGATTCTAAGTTTAACATATAAATTTTCAGTAATAATCCTTTAATATATAAAGTAACATGGGAAAGTTCGTTTAAACCAACTATTTATTATGAATATACTTTAATATTTAATAATATTATTCATCATGAATATCATGGATTTTCATATCATGAATAATTCCTCAAATGAAAGTCGAGAGCAAGTTATAATTATACCATGTGAACGAAAATGCATTTTACAACATACAACATTTTATGCATGTCTTACAATTATTACCTTTCAAAAATCGGCCTATCGGAAGTAAGAAGAGAGGTTACTCCTCCGGTGGCTCCGAGCGCAAAGAAGAAGAACATCCCGGCTAGGAGTTTAGGATGCAAGTCTTTCGCCATCGCCTTCTCCTCCTAAATTCATTTAATATAAATCAGTAATTATACTTCACGAAACCTAATAACGGATTAAAGAAACATTGCATTTCTAAACAAACATTTATTTGTACAGTTTCTTTCATTTTCAATCCTTGAGGTTTCATTGTAAACCTTTTCATGTAACACACAAAATGAAGAGAACCTATGTAAGTTTGATAAGATTCTTACCACATCATCAGAGAACCGAATGCGAAAACCTAAATAAGTCCCGTATCCGCCCATGGCAAAGAGCACGACTGCCTACAAGATGACAAGAACGATTATAAAATGTCTCCAGTTTTTCCCAAATCAATCCAAGTGAGTTTTAGAGCAAAAAAAAAAAGAAGTTTTTATTCTCTAAAATCGATAGTATAGATACCATGTTGCCGGGGTGGCCCCAATGGACAAGCCATCCTGGGAGATCAAAAGATTTCACGAGCTCAACGAAAGGTCCAAATAGCGATCTTACGGTTCCAGCTGAAAATCAAGCATTGGCAACATTTAACATATATGACACAAAGACTACTAATCCATACTATTTTAGCAAAGTCGCTCCAACTCTTTACCAACGGAGCTACAAACACGAAGGCCTATTAGTGTATACTATTGGCTCGCCTTGCTATTTGATTTACACGAGCTTCAGGTCTCAAAGACAATTGTATACTTTTGTTATATCAAATATTCAAATAAAAAGGTTTTCAGGTTCCTACACACAGGGGCGGATCTAGTCCTTAAGGACCGGTTTGTCCCCCAATTAAAGACCAAAAACGTTTACCGGTTTGCCCCCCAGTTAAAGACCAAAAACGTTTATTGATTAGCTTAAATTTTCTATTTTTACTCTCGTCTTACATGGTTTCCTCCCAGTCCCATATGGCCATATGCTTGCCTCCCCCAAGTCCCATCCAACATCCCCCACCCAATTAATATCTTGGATCCGCCACTGCCCTATACATATAACATCATCTTCATTTATCGGAACTACCTAACATGTGAATTTGAAACAAAACTAAACGAATAAAATGTTAATCGATCAAACTGGTGACAACTTAATTTGGTGATTAACATGATGTAATTGTTGTTATTTAAGAGTATCATAAACCATAAATCAATAGAAATATGAAGATAGAGTTGTATATTGATCTATTTGGCTACATTCATTGTGTTAGGTTAAAAGAGAATCGTAGAAAATAGATATAAACACAATTGAAGTTTCATAATGATACATATATATATATATTATGTTTTGAATTTAATCAAACTATTTTGATTTAAACAATGAATTGTTTCATATAAATGAGGATCCACGAGATAATTAAGATGATTGTGATCGATAAATGAATTGAATGGAAGAAAGAAGATAGTAGGACGAATGAGGTACCTCCAGGAAGGGCAGCAAGCAGAAGAAGAGGGAGAGGAGAGAATGAGTATACCACAGTTTCACTCTCCTTCACCATCTCTTCTTCTTCTTCCATTTCCATTTGAATGGGGGTTTTGAGGGCAAAAGCTGTAAGAAAACCCCGATTCCTGCTGCTTCTGCTTGTGGTGCGTGAGAGTGAAGCAGAGGAAGGTGTAATTACTGGAACAGGAACAGGAACAGGAAGAGGAATAAAAGGAGATAAGCATGTAGAGGTAGGTCTGTGAAATGAAGCACTCAACATCATCGCCATTTTCAAAAATCACGACACTGTGTGTTGGTGGGTGAAATGGAAGGAAGGAGAAGGCAAAGGCAAAGGCAAAGAGAGAGACACGTTTAAGGCGATTTGATTAAAAAAGGTTGTTGGGTAACGTGTTCTCAACACGCTCTTTCTTTCAACCCCAACTATTATCGTTTTACTTTTTTTAACAGCCAACAATATCAAATCTTCACATCAATGCTTGGATTCTATTTTTAATATTTTTATTTTTTATTTTAAAGGTTCTGAGATTAATTATATTAATATATTATTTATGTATTTATTATGCCAACAAACTTCTAATATTTAATTAATAAAAATAATATTTCTCTAGTTCTCGACATGAATGATTCTTTAAATTTGGAAATTTTGTCCCCTTTTTTTCAAAATGAGAGACTTTTGAGGGATCTCTTATGCTGTGCTTTCTGAGTTTTCGTTACGAAGGAAAGTAGGGGGAAAAAGTTGCATTCTCGATTTCTTTAAGATATGAAAAGAAAAGAAAATAATGTTGATTTTTCTCTTAAAACTTTCCTCTTAGATGTGAAAGAAAATGGAAGGAAAGATTATATAAATAATTATTTATAATTTATAGAATTTCAATTACATATCTACCCATTAACTACAAGTTATTGAAAGATAAATAAGGATATATTTGTAAAAACATTTTTTTTCCCTTTTCCTTCTCTCTCAATAATACAAATAAAAAAAATCTTCCATTTCTTATCTTCTAGAATTTGAGAACGCAACGTTAAATCAAAAAGACTAAGGGATTGTTTACCAAATTACTTGAATAAACGTTTACCAAGTTATATTACTATAACCGATGAATATGGTAAGGACCAAAGATCTTACCCGGTAGGAGCAAAGTGTGAAAACAATGATCTAGACTCTAGAGTCTTATCTTGTAGGTAAGGATGACGGCTCTTACCCAGTTAGCTCTTACCGGGTAAATTTTTGCATACGATGCCATTTTAATAAACTAAATCTTATTCGGTAAGGTAAGTGATAGTGTTGGATTTAACCGGTAAGCGTTTACTGGTAAGTGTTTGAGTAAACAACCACTAAGACAAAAACTTTATTTTAGAGAATCTACCGGAGATGCTATTAGATCAAGCTTTGATAAGTTAAAATGGTAAATAAAATTGAGTCCATAAAATGTCATTCCAATTTCATTGGATTATGCCAAACCCCAAAATTCATTGAATTTTGCCAAGCCAACGGTTTAAATAATTGAAGACTTATATTGTACCATTTTCATTGGAAAACTGTAGAAATTTTTGAATTTTCTCATCATATTTAAAGAGAGTTTAGATCATAATGGAATGGAGTCAAATTACGACCTGTTTAACTAATGAATATGATAAAATTACTAACCAATCTGTCCCAAAGTTAACCATTATAAATCAAAATTCTAAAAAAATACTTCGACAACTACAATACCATGTCATTAATGCCATTCTAACCAATATTTTTTGGGCGTTTGTTTCTTCTTAGGATACAGATATGCATGCATCGCATCTCATGAAACACATCTAAATGAAAATGTCAAATTCACTGCTATTTCCGAATATTCCAATTCCATAACCAATATGGCAATATACCTTCACGTCCCAAAACAAGTTTCTACATTATTATTTTAATTTATCCTAAAATAAGTGTGCACTTTCAAAATTAAATATCTACTTTCCCATTATACCTTTAATTATGTGACAAGGGAAAATTTCTCTTACTATAATTAAGGGTAAAACTGTCATTTTATTAATTAAAAAGTGTAATAATTTACATTTCTAAAACTGTGTCTGAGACTTAGAAGGAGTATTAGCCAACCAATCGCCTGCATAAGAAAACATTCATGCATGGTTGTATATATGGTACAAGGGCTCATGCTGGTTCATACCGGTCCATGAGCCAGAGGGTCCCGACAATTTGAGTGAAAGACCCATTGTTTTGACCATGAATCAAAGTGAAAACAGCTGAAAATGTTACCTTTTCAATTACTGAACCACCTATGTACATAAAATGGGGAATGGGTCAGAAAGGAATAGTTCAAGAAGCATAAATGTTTTACTGCTTGCTTGTGGAACAATAAGATGGCATTATGAATCTAAACTCTGCATCATCATCTAAGATCAATCTCTGCTGTTAGACTTGATGTTGATTGTCCAACACCAACAGCATCCATTTGTTGTCACCTATCTAATAATGAAAACCCGAGAAGCAAAAAATAAGTCATCTAAAATTATTCAAAGACCCATCCCGCCCTCAAAAGAGAGAAGAGAAAATCAATAATACCTCAATGGTATGTACATGCGTCATCATTGTTGAAGAGTTGCATCATCTATCGACTCGGAGAACATTATTATGTATGGTTCCCCTGGTAACAGTCTCTTTCATGGGATCAATCATCCATTTGCCATCAACAATGAATTTGATCTGCACGATTGACAGGTCCAAGTTTCAGAAACTCCAAAGAATTATTCAACGCTATACTTTCTCTTCCCGACAAGAAAACACAAGCATGCATAAGTTGGTCTAATCAACCTGTCAAAGGTAGTCAAGTATTTGTCTACACGTGCAATCTATGGTACATTTGCTCATCAAATTTTGAACCATACATAATCGAGTTATATGGAAAATGAAGGTAGTTGCACCAAGATGAATTTGCTTCCAAGTTCCAGCAGCTCCTCCAAAATGGAGAAAAATGAGATATTGGAGTTTTTAGGCTTTTTTTGCTCCAACGGCTTCTCCAAAATGGAGAAAGTAAGAGCGACAAATTTCCGCAAATGAGGAATAGAATGATTCTTCCCAAGAAAAAACTCCCAACCTACCAATAAAGTTAAATGAAGGAAGAGAAAACTTCTTCATATTATTGAATATTTTAATAATATAATTAATATTGGAATCTCCTGAATGATTTTTTTTTGGGATATTGACTTTTGCTTCTCCATTTTGGAGAAATTATGGAGAAACTGTTGGAGATGCTCTTAGTTCCTTATAAGATACAAGACAAAACAAATCAATATAGTACATGGTAGCGAATCATAGCTTTCATACCTCATAGATCCCAGGATATAGCCACAACATGGACCTCCAGAGCCTAGATGTCCTGGTAGAAGCATAAAATGGAAGTATCAAATTTAGCATCAGTATGTAAGATGTGTATCAGCCACCAAAACAAATGATGAGCAGGAAATGCAAGCTTTTGAACCAGCATGAAAACAAGCTGAGAGAGAGAGAGTTTGCAGAACAGGTGACACTGGTTTATCGGAGCTCCTCATCTATGTGAGGGTTGAGAAAAGTCCTTATATGCAGCATCTCTTGCATTTTCACATTGCTAGCATATAAGAACAAGCCTCATATAAGATGCTTTGAGTTCACGGGTTCAAATCCTGTCTCCACAATACTTTTTGTCAAAAAAATTGTAAGAAGAGTTCGATCCAATGCTTTATTTCTGTCCTAGTTGATCCTGATTCAAACATTACTGCATGAAGATATGGATTTGATGTATATAACTATGATGAAGGTCAAAGGCATGCGAGATCGGTGACATGAGAAAATCATTTCCCTGAATGGACATAATATGGCTCGCTTGATTAGGGCAAAGTTCCTTAAAAACTCTTGCCTTTTTTATAAGGGAACAAACTGCAGGCATATGAGGCTGACTTAATCTGTGAGGATCGAGGGATTGAGGAGGGGTAGGCAGACCTGTGAGGATTAGTGGAGTTGGGGGAAGCAGAAGAGGACTTGGGATGAGCAACTGAGGTTAGACATGGCGGCTTTAGGCATTTCTGAGGACATATGGCCTCTAATAGTTCTTGAAGACGCAATATTAGGATAGCAGACTAGGTGCTATCTAGGGGTATGCATACTTCCGACCTTGGTTATGTTATGTTTTTCTTGTACCTACAACCTACTTTAGTTTGTATGTTTTGTTTGCTAGTGTGATAGATTTTTGTTGCTTACTTCTAACTCGGTTTTGCAAATTTTAACTCTGACTCACTTGTTTTCAATTTTCCTTTTTTGTCCTTAAGTTCGGTTTTCTGATTTAGATAAAGTCAAATGTTAGTTTTATTTTATCCATTTGCAAACACAAACCTATAGACGTGTAATCACTTCATCATTTTATCCTCTCTAATCCTCTTCTTCTCTTCAATAGAATTCTGCAGAAATGTTCATGGGAGATATATTTTGTTGTTGAGTATATTTCATTTGATTAGGAAATCCTGGGGGTATCTTAGCCTATAACCCAAACAACCTTGCTAGTGGGGACTATTAATATCCTAAGGACGGTGAATTTCGCATCCTAATCATTTGATTTGCTGCACTATTTCTCCTTCTACTACCCTACTTTCTAACAAAGGATACATTCTTTGCTCCAAATTTAGTATCCTCTTTTCATTGGGGATAGTCATGACATATTTTTGTAGAGCGTTTGCCCAAAGCTTAGAAAGACCAAGCTTCACATGATCATACATTGTAGGACCTCCTCACTGGACCTGAGATTGAACCAACCGTAATTTGGCCTGATAGGTCCTTGACAGACCTAAATTTCTGTCCAGCACGGTGTTCCAAAGTTATCCACGCCATCTAAGTAGTGACAAGTAAGATGGTTTCCTACACTTAATTAGTGCTTGTCTATAAAAGCCTCAGTGATTGTCTATGAAAGCAAAGAAAGGAACTCAATGCTACTTGTTCAACTAATAGTCAGAGAGACAAGACTTTCGAGAAAGAAAGTGAGTTGAAAACCTCAATTCAACAGGGTCTGTGATATTTGAGGAAGGCTGCAGATCCAATTTTACGCCATGATGCCAACCATTGAAGCTACCTGCCACCTCTACAGTCTCACCATCGCCCCAGTACTCCACTTGAACCTAGGAAAGTGGAAGCTTCCATTAGCAGCAAAGGTCACCCAATGACAGCTACAAATTTCGGATAATAAAACTACTCTACCATTTATATAGGATGGTAATGTAAGGAATTCATAAATTAAAACTATGGGTTATTCATCTTATCATTCATTAAGGGTTCCACAGGCACAGGTGGCAGCTTGGATCTGTGAGTGGATACACCCACCAGTATTTTCCTAACTTTGAGCTCATTAACATAAAATAACATATAACAGTAAAAGAAGGCGAAAATAGGGTCTTTATATTCAATATAAGCTATCTAGTGTTTTTACTAGCAAATGAGAAGTTACCTGTTTTAATCCAGAAAGGCTTTCTTCAGCCGCATGTAGCTCTGCATCTTTATCCAAGAGAAGTTTCTGTGCTTTACTTATCTCTGTTTCAGCTTTAGCTTGTAATTCCAACAAGGCTTGCTAGGCACATTGATATTTGATAACGTATTATCAGTGATCTTGCGGAACGGAGGGCTTTAAAAGAAAAATGAGAAACATACAACTTGCAAAATACGTACCACATACGTTGCCATTAATATTTCAGAAGATCTAAAGTTGTAACAAAAAAAAATTAAAATTTGTGCAGCATGAACAAATATAATAAAATTGTCACTTTGGTGGAGGAAATAACCCAACCTGGTTTTTATCAACAAACACATTGAATCTGTCAGCAAAAATATCCTACTATGACAATTTTGTTGAACTCTTAACTTGTGAAGTAAATAGGGGAACACTGAAAATGACTACTACAGAACAATTACCTTCCCTCTCCTTCCCATACTGTCACCTCTGAGTATGACACAGAATGAGACAGCTCACAACTTCACCTTCCAGCTTCCATTTTTTTTCTATATTTGAATTATCTCATGGAGGGTCTTGAACTAGACTTTGGAACTCTGGTCGGAGCTTTGATTTTAGAATTTAATGGTTCATCATTGAGTTGCATCCTAGAATTATAGCTTGAATTTCCTTACATTCATATCAACCATTAGATATCTATTTCAGCTCTTGATTACATCAAGTCAACCTTAACATGTTCAATTCCTCATCCTACTTCTTATGTATTTGGTTTTTAGTTGACAAAAGAGTGAATCTCAATCCTACAGAAAAGGGAAATCTTCCAACATTTGGCTATCATCTTGAGTCCTAGCCTAAATTCTTTCTGGTTGAGTGGCCTGCAATTCCACACCAAAGCACAATGCCATTCTTCTATTAGACAGGCACAGAGTGTCCATATTTTCAAGGATGTCATTCACTCTTATCATGGGGCATCTAGATATTCTGATGTTATTTCAAGTTTCAGTTGTGACGGTTTCTATAATGCAATATAAACAAATACAGCCAATCAATGAATTAACAAAAATCTGAAAGTAAAATACCAAGCACTAGCACCAAGTCATCAACTAATCATTTTATTGATCCATGCATATGAAGCCTAGAAAAACAATCTACAATGCATTTCCAGCAAGCATCGTTCAACTAATGGTTGCATCCAAAAGAAATACCTTGTTCTTTTCAATCTGTTCCTTCAACTGAGACAATTCCGACTCCTTGTGATGCTAAGAACATAAAAAACAAAGAGAAGATTTACATATGCTATGAAGATCCGATAACCAGCTCCTAATGAATTATTGTCAGAGATGAACATGGTACCAGCATAACTTTGATCCGATTGATTTCAGTTTTGTCCTCCTTCGTTCTAATCTGTCTTACAGAAAAAGAAGATAACATGACCAAGCGAGCAAGAGCAAGAGAGCGGGAGGGAGGAAAGAGAGAGGTAAGTAGATTTGTATATAAAGATATGCAATGAATTGATTAAACAACCTCAGCATCCACATCCTTGTCAGTGTTAGCGGACTCAGCACTTGCCAGTTGATCATTGGAAGAAATATTCCTATAAAGGATGCAAATGGATCTCAGTAAAAGAACAGAAAGAAGTGAATACTACAGCTTAAAAAAATGCTCGAATGGAGTGACAGAACAATCAAAGACCCATAATTTTGGGTGTTACACTGTTAAATGATTTTCAAACTCAATCATAATTGACGATGTGAAAGGGTAAATCAGAAACAGAAAAGGAAGGCAAGAAATATTTGAAGAAACACAGGTTGATATTGTTTCCCATACAAAGGACAGGCACACAAATGAAAATCCATGATTAGCACTATTGCAGCAGAACCATATCTAAGAAATAGAAACCTTGCCATCGAAGGTAAAGTCAAATTTCATCCAGATAAAAAAGTAATGATCAATCAACATTATGATTTGTATTCAAACAAGAATATTTACAATATAGAGATGTGTAATGGCTCGAGGATGAATTGTGTCACCATAAAAGATATTACTACAAGTGAGTTCATGATAAGAGAGATAGAATGATCATCATTCATAGGTGATCTGACACTAAAGAAATATATGAAATCACATAATTTGGATATCTAAATTAGATAAGCCAGAGTTCAGAAGTTGAAAAGGATTGATGTAGCAAAGAGAAATGAGAATGTAGCACAAGTAACAATGCAAACCTCAACTGAGAAGTTGAAAGTACAAGCTCAGATGACAGAATACTTCCGTTTGCTAAACTGGGAGAGTCGGATACACAAAGCACTTGGCCTTCACTTGCCGAACTTAACTCAGGCTCTGTTGATTGCTGAGATCCACTGTTCTCCATCGCATTTACAACGTCCAAGTCATAATCTGAACATCAAGAAGCAACAAGAGCTGAATTTATCTTCAAAGCTGTAATGAAAAAAACTTCAAGGAGACAAATATTTTGCAATACAACATTCCATACAATGAATTTTTTATATCATGGGTAGAAGACAGGTGTTATTTCAAATGCATGTAAATGGATCAAAGGACAAAATATATCTACATACTAGAGGGCCTTGCCTTCAATTATTTCCAGCTCTCCATTCTGAATGAATTTTACCACCTTTTCCTGCAATGATGATTTGGTTGAACCATCAACTAAAAAGCAACTCTCTACATCAGGTTCTAAATCATCATCAAAACTCTTGGAATTGGAAGTCTCTTCTATGATGGTATCTTCGCTTGACAAGAACACATCTTCAGCCAACTCTTTTCCATTCTCATCCAGACCTTTTAAGTATAAATGTTTCAATAAGAAGAATTCTGACTAAAACTTGAATATGGTATGGGCAACAAAATTAATGAAAATAACAATAAAAACCACCTGTCAGTTCATCTTCTTTGATACTGGACTTATCCTGCTTATCAGTCAGGCTCCCCTCTACATTAGAATCAGCAACGTTGATCTCACGTGAGGCTGCAAGAAGCTCTCTGATAAGCTTATATCCTCTCCGTCTCACAACGTTTGCAAGGTCTTGCCTATACAATAATGCAAGAACAAAAGGGAGTAATTCAGACAAAATTGTCTACAAGTAGAAACCTTTTCCATTAGCTTACAATTTCTTTTTACCAAAAAGCAAGTTTTTGTACAATGTGAGGATACAACCGAAACAAAATGATATATATTATGTGTGTGTCTTTCACTAATATCCTCCATCCTATAATATAAATTCCATCGAATCTCCATAATTACCAAGGAAAGGAGCAATTGTCCTTACAGGAAAATACACAAACTCCCACATACTATGTCTTTGGTTCCTTGAATATGGCACCTAGAACTGACACAAAGACTAGATTTCCATTTTATGTTCTACTTGATATTTAGAAAATAGAAACTATAAAAAAGACCCACTGTATATGCTTCTTCAATTCGACCACTAATGTTAAATTTCTCATGTTTTAATAAGAAGAAAAAAGGTTAAAAAGGAGTTTTCTAACAGAAGATGAGGGTCATTTTGCCATATCCCTCTCTCTTCCTATCATCAGCACCAACTCAGTTGCCATACCCCTTTTACTACACTAGTATTCATCTAATCATCTTTATCCATCTAAACTCCCCTCAAACCCAATGTCCATCTATCTATCAATCTCTGTAGTATTGGGAGAACATGGTGGTTGTGGTTATAGTTTTTGATTGCAAACTCAGATGTTTTATTTTAATATAAAAATTTGTTTATCCAAGATGCCGGGGGAGGGGAGATTGTCAATCTCTTTTCCGTTTAACCGTAAAAAATCTTTATCTTTTGAATTGGTAGAAACCTGCCCTTTTGTTGGTTAAAGGACATGTTCATTACCAAAAGGAGAGTTAGACGACCAAGCAGGTACATAGTAAATCATTAGTGGTGATTTTTGTTTTCCAGAACAGTAAATAGGAAAAAAGAGGTCAACCTGGCCTGTTAGCAATTTTAGGGGGTATCCAGCGCAACTAGCCAAAATGTAGAGTGATTTTGCCTATAGGACAAAATGAGGGAATAATTGTKTAGCAATTCCCTTCATTGTCGTTATTTAAGTACATCCTCTCATTATCAATTATCCATTTGCCTTATTCAAAGCAAATAGTCTATAAGGAAAACATCTTTTGTTATATGTTGTCATAAGATTGGGGAACAAAGACATTGGTATCATGATCAGTGCAGCCCTGCAGGATGGACGAAGATGCAGCATGCATTAAGATCTAGGAATAGCTAGGTGATCAATTGATCCTACTATGCTTTAGTGTCAAAACGTTAGATGGTCAAAAATCAACATATGCATAAGATCACTTGGTCGGTATGTGATTTTTTTACTTTTTATTGCTTGTGATCTTACAAGCTTGAATTCAGTGCAAATAAAACATACATTGTTACACAAGGCTTCAATTGCTAGCCAATGCCTCAAATTCAAATATAAATATCCTATTGTAAAATCATGCATTCCGAACTTCAAGTCATGATTCGAAAGTTATTTTTGAAGTGTTCCTAACACCATCACTTCACAGATTCGTTCCTAAGAATGCAAATAATTTCTAGTACTAGGATTCCTACGATGTAACGAAATTTTTTCCAAGTTAAGTATAACATTCATATCTGCAGACATGTATGTATTCAAACACTGCAACACAAGTAATCAAACCAAAATCAGAGACATATGCTACGGAAACTAAACCTTCCATGCTGTAAAAGCTCCTTCAAAGAAGGAACATGTCCGTCAGGAAGCCCAGCCTCTGACATAAATTCTCGTAAGTCGTTGCAGAGATCTGCATTGGTCCTCACCTGTTTCCTACTGGCAACCCTAACACTGCAAATCAAAACTCCGTTTAATCGAATCTCGATTTAGTAAAAACTCTAATAAACCTACACAGATACACATGCAATTGAAAATGAAGCAGAAAACCTGGTTTCATCCAGTGAGGAAGCACAAACTGCAGCGAGGAGGCGACGGCCGTGAAGAACGCGGAATTGACAGAGGCGAGGTTCAGGAGCAACGGCCGCGACGAAGAAGAGCTTGTAAGAAGGGAAGGAGTGAGAGTAAGTGAGGTGCATCGCCATGGGAGAAATCATTTGTTGAAAAGGAGCATCGAAATTTTTCTAGGAGTTGAGTTTACGAAGTAACAGTTATGTGTTATATACTCAACCACTGCAACCACCACCACCACCACCACCACCACCACCACCGGTTGTTCAGCCAAAAGATTCCCTATCTCTCCCTTTCACTGGAAATTAAAATACTCCTCCGTCGCACAAAATCAAGAATCTAAAAATTCATATATATATATATATATACCACTAACTAAATATAGTAACATTTAGTTAATACTGTTACAACAATAAATTTAGTGTGAATTTCTTGCTCAAAATTTGGTGTTCCTAATTTTTCAAAGTTATAACATTTAGAAATATAATGATCAAAATATTTTTTTTTTCAAAGAAAAATTTAAAAAACTGTGAAATTATAATTTTGGTTCTTGTAGTTTGTCCAAATACTGATTTGTTTATTTTTTAACAGTTACTTATTAACAATATTAATTTTAAGGACCTTTTAAGTGTTATGAAATTGAGAAGTTAAGGACCGTCAATGTAGATAGTTTGCTTTATGGATCAAATCCAAATTTTAAACAAACCATATGGATCATCAGTGTAAATCACTCATAGATTAATAATCTTTTACAAAGTTCACATTTTATCACCAAATTAATTTATTATAACCAATATTTGAAAAGGATTGCCGCAATAGCCATTATGGTGCATCATTGCTTAAGACTTGTGTCTCACACGATGTTATGCATGAGGCACGCCATGGTGTAGTGCGTGGTTTTGTGACATGATTATTTTACTTGTCTTTTTAATGTCTTATTTATTAGTTTTTAATATATAACTCAATTTAAATTGTTTACTATTATTGATTGATTGAGTAACAGTATAAAATGTATGTTTCGGTATATAATTTTAATTTCTGAAAAGTTTTAGGTTAATTTAAGTATTTAACTCTAAGATCTTGTTTGTTTTTTTCATTTTTAGCTCTTAATTGTCACTTGTATATGATCCTTTCAGACGTTTTATAATTCAGACTGTTTATTTTTTTATTTTTTTTACTCTCTTATTACTTAACAGAGTCTGAATAAATAAGAGGTAAACTAATATTTTAATTCATTTTATTTTATCTTTTCTTTGATTTTATTTGACTGTTTCTTCTTTCTTCATCAGGGACGCTACCGTCCTTTCATTACCCATGTGAAATGCATGTTACCATCCTCTCTCTCTCTCTCTCTCTCTCTCTCTCTCTATATATATATATATATATATATTATGTATGTATAGGTTAGCTTGGAAGATTAATGTGAAACAAAAGCTTCTATCGACGATCTATCCTCTAGCAAAAGTATCGATCTTCCTGCAAATAAACCGGCGATATTCTCGATAGCATCGGAAGTTTGAAAGATATCCAAAAGATTCTTATTGTGTTATATCTGTTAAACAATTGTTGAGATGAATTTCGGCAATAAATTTTTAATAAAATCAATATAATTTTGTAAAATGTTTGCACCTAATTTTACAAAAACAAATTATTGATTAAGACGTTTGTTAGTTTACAAAAATAAATAATCGTATTGATCTATATTTCAGACTTTAGTACCACCTCTTATTTATCATAAGTAAAATAAAACTTCAGATTTCAACACCTATTAAAAAACAAACGCTAGAAAAAATATATTTGAGGAAAATGTGTTCAAATCCTCATTTTCAATTACATCACTAAAAAGAATTAAATATAATGGATTTATTATATATTATAAAAAAATCAGCTATAGTCACACACTAACAATATTTTTAATATTATAATAAAATAATATGTTTATGAGTAAATTACGTTTTTCGTTTTTATGGTTTTATTTAAAATTGTGGATTTCGCTCTTGTGGTTTTAAAATTTTAATTTTCATCTTTATGGTTTAACATTATTTTTAAGTATGAAGGAGTAAAATAGAAACCCTTGACCCCCACCTTTTGGTCGTACCGGATCAATCTAGTATTTTACAAGTGTGCACACTACATCTCCTAACTTGTATAAAAAAACTAAGGGGGTGTTTGGGATTGCTTATCGGAACTGCTTTTTAACTTATTTCAGTCTGGCACCGGAGATAAGTTATTTTAGAGTGTTTGGGAAAAGAAAAAAAAGCTGCTTATACCGGTGCCAAACCGGTAATAAGCAGTTTTTGATAAGTTAATCCTTACTGACTTATGAAAAACAACTTATCACCGATTTACCATTTTAACCCTCTTTAAATTTATCCAAACATCAGATACGTCTCATCATCATCATCCCTTCCTCTCATCATCAATATCCCTTCCTCAAATATATTATAAATATATTATTTTTTCTTGAATTATTAATGGTATTGGTATAAATGTTTGTTAATTATTAATCTTATTGATATAAATTATTAATCTTATTAATATAAATTTTTCTCAAATATATTATAAATGACGAAAAATAATTTTTTACATGTTAAAAAATAAAATAAGTTAATAAGCAATCCCAAACACTCTCATAAGTCAATAATATGGAAGACTGTCTTTTTTTATCATTTTACAGATATAAACAAAATTTACCAAACACTAAAAAACAATTTATCAGCTTATTGCAGTTTGGTACCGTTATAAGCTAATCCAAACACTTTTTATAAAACTCCGATTTGATACCACATAAGTTAATAAATACTTTTACAAAAAAACATAAGTTGTTTTAAATAAGCAATCCCAAACACCCCCTAAATAAACATCCCCTTTTTAACTCTTGTATATTTACCTCTTATTAAACGAGACTTGTGAAACTAAAATCACCAACACCCTTTTCACCACACAACATCAATCTCCTCCTTCTAACCTACAACCACCTTCTCCTTTACACTGCAACCAGCAACCAGCAACCACCATTGACTACACACAACGAACCGGAGAATGGAAGAGGAATGGCAACGGTGGTGTTGGGCAACATTACATGGACCCACTTCTTCCACTTCCTTACCGGGACAACCTCAACCTTCCTTCTACGTTGAATCCAAATCTCGAAACCACCATGAAAGAACACCGAAGCCTGATCTCGATCTCATACACGGATTCATTCAACCTTCTCGTCCCCCCGCCCCAGATCTAAAAATCTACTGACCATTCGGACTAGATCTCGTGAATGGTTGAGCAACGATGGTGTACACAATGTGTTCACAACAATTGCAATAGTAGTCGAACGTGTGGGGACGAATGTGTTTTGTATACACTGTGTTCACAAAAATCGAAGTGGTAGTGGTCGAACTTGTTGGGGATGAAGGAGAGGTGAGATAGAGAGGGGATTTATAAATACCCCTAATACCTTTTATTTGATTTTTTAATTTATAATTACCAAAATTAATAATTTCCTAATTTATTATGATTTTGTGGTTTATATTAGATCTCACAAATACAAAATCTCAAAAGAAACCCCCTATATATATATATATATATATATATATATATATATATATATAGGGTTAGGTTCACATTAGACCAAGGGTTTTTGTGAGACTCGTAAGACCAATTTATATTCATTTACCAACTTTATAAGCTAATGATCTAATTGTCTAAAGTTGTACGGTAGCAATTACCAAAATTAATAATTTCCTAATTTATTATGATTTTGTGGTTTATATTAGATCTCACAAATACAAAATCTATCTCAAAACCCCCTATATATATATATATATATATATATATATATATATATATATATATAGGGTTAGGTTCACATTAGACCAAGGGTTTTTGTGAGACTCGTAAGACCAATTTATATTCATTTACCAACTTTATAAGCTAATGATCTAATTGTCTAAAGTTGTACGGTAGCAATTTTGTGATTATTGAAATCTCGTGGCAATTTTGTGATTATGAATGTTCAAGATTGTAAATCTAATCCAAAAGTTGAGAATTGGTCTTACGAGTCTCATGAAAAACCGTTGGTTTCACATGATCTCAAGTCATATATGTATGTATATATTATCTTTGCACATTCCAATACCAAGTTGAAAACCAATGAATTTAAAAATAAATTACCATAAAATCAAATACAAAAAAGTATTATGTATGCAAAGCAAATGAAGTTACCAAAGTTCAACCACAATATGCTTACACAATATACAGATATAGCAGAGTCAGGTTGTACTTGATGAATCGACTAATGCTCATGCTTAACACGTCCCTTTAGTATGCCCGGAAGTGGAGGTGAGGGCGGAGGTCTGCCGTGTGCCATGGTGGACCTTGGCGGCTGCGGTGGTGGCGGCAAAGGGACTCGACCCTCAAACATGCTGGACCCTGCACCACCTCCTTCTCTACAAACATTATTATTGTTTGATCCATCACAAAACTTCATGGCCTTCAGGACGTAATTGTCATCATGTAGCTCGAACGGTGTGCTGCAGTTACCTTGACGGTAAGCCAAGCCCACATAAAACAGAAACCATATTTATTTATTGCAGTAAAAAACAACGCTGACCTGTTGAAGTCGAAATGAACTAGCTGCATATCTTCTGAAATTTCAACCTCCACAGTCGCATGAGGCCGAGTCTACAATTATGAGACACCAAAAGGGGCATAGTATTAGGGGGGGTTTGGTTGGTTTTCCATTTAAGTCTTGTATGAATAAAGTTGGCTATATAATTAGTATATCTGTATGGATCGAGATTTTGTTTGGGAGGGTTTTTTCATACATAGAAGGAACGTGTTTTTTAATTGGGAGGAGTAGGTTTTAGAAAAAAAAACTTCCATATTCTACACAAAGCTCCCCCCTAAAAGCTTACTGAATAAACCACTTTCTATAGCATTAAGCCACAACCAAACAGTCACTTATAGCTGATTGAATAAACTGTGAGTCCCATTAAGCTCATTAAGCTACTAAGTGCTAACAAGCAATGCTCTTAGGCTATGTTTGGATTGCATCTCCAAATTAGTTGATAAGCTAGATGACAATGTAAAATAACCCAAAAGATACATAAGAAGCATTTACGTAAAATATAGGGGGTGTAATTAAAATAAAGTGAAAAAAACCAAATAAGCCAGCTGAAGTAACTTTTCAAAGAGTTACATTTTTGCTTGCCAAACGGGGTTTTTTCAATAAGCTAGCTTATGGTTGTTGGACATGGCCATAACATCTTTATCCTATAACGTTTCAGAAGCACGGTTATCATATTCGTTGAACTCGGGGTAACATTTGGATTGCATCTCTATAATTCCGTTCAAAGATTTCACATTATGTACCAAGAAAGACGATAAAAAACTTTCCGAGCAATCATACCTGAACCAGAATAAAAGGTAAAGCCACTCCACCAGTTGGAGCATTTCCGGAGCCATATAACTGCTCGTTCCGTCGTACAAGGTTTTGAAGACCTACATGCTTCGCAAGAGAATAAAAACGAACACATAAGCAAAACACGCATCACAAATTATTTCTTAACGCAAATTATATGAACTAATCCTCACTTGATCTTCCAGTTCTCGCAAATAAGCAGTTTTCTTGTCAATTCTGTTCTTGAGTGCAAGACGCTCGCTCTGTGAAATTTACATAAAAAGAACCGATTAAACAGCGGTAAATTCATAGATGCATTTTGTTCGACTCTGAAAAGGTTAATCCACCAGAAAGAAAAGAAGAGAGGGACCTTTAGCTCTTCGATATCATTCAAACTAGTTCGAGGCAAACCTCGCCACTGTATTTCCTTTTTATCTTTAGAAATGATATCCATAGCCATGAGAACGTTTAATGCGTCATATACCCGTCGACGGATATTCTTCTCGTCGTATTGTTGCTGTGACCCACATTCAAATGGAACAAGGTCATGTAAGTAGTAAATACACATTCCATAGATGTATACCATCCGTCCCAAAATAAATGTCCACAATGAAAAAGGCGTATAGTTTTAAAAATGTGTAATTATTACACTTTAATCAACTAAAAGACAATTTTACCCTTAATAATAGAGACACCAATGAATTTGTCCATCTCATAATGAAGGGTAGAATCGGAAAGTACGCAATTTCTTTATAAAATGACAGTATTTACATAATTCAACAATTTGCCTACATCCACACTCATTAATACGATTCTTATTATATCTTGTGGATTTAGTAGTACAGAAAGAAGAAACCGGAACCATCATTGAGCAGAATTTATAGAACAAAAAAGATGAGACGACAAAAATTGTCATCCTCATCATCATATACCATCTTCCCATGAAAATTGTAGCATTTCCACTTATGGAAGTTCTCAAAGCAAATTACTTATTTGCCCATCATCATCGTCACAAAGAAACTGATGGAAAGTACAGATTTGAGGCCACAAGAGTCCTTTATTGTGTCATAAATAGTCGAACTCATTCATGTAACTATGTGTTCAGTCAAATGTTGCACTTTCCATGGGACAAAGTGAATACAGTATATCCAAAATAAAGTTGGCAGGTGACACAAACCTGGTCAGGAGTTTGATCGGTATTGCTGGGATCTGCAAATTCAGCTACAAGTTCATCGGCAACCTGAAATCGAACTTGCCATTTCAGTTTTATATATGGCTCTTTTAAGGAGACATGAAATATGGTGGTTCAAGTGTAGGAAGTATATAAATGATATATGCAAATCAATGCTCATATCCAGAAAGGATGTATAATGTACTGACTTATTTGGTTATAGATTTTCTCTGATCCATACACCAGACAAAAATTCAAACTTGATTATTGGTTTGCATTCATCAGCAACTAAGGGCATGTTTGTTAGCAGCTTAATGAGCTTGCGAAGTTTTTTTTTCCCAAATCTGCCCCTCCAAATTAAAGAACACGCTCCGTTCATTTATGAAAAAGCCCTCCCAAACAAAAACTTTCCAATCTATACAAACAGATTAATCCACATATCCATACAGGCCTTAATGGAAAACCAACCAAACAGCCCCTAAGCGCGTAATCTAAACCAAGCTACTAGAAATTACAAGGCTCATGGAAAATAGGTAGGCTCTCGCTTGGCTCATGGCTTGCTAACCTCAGGAAACACAGTGGAGACTGGACTTGGCTGACTAAAAGATCAAGCCTTGGTTCGTCTTTGTATAGGCTAGCATATTAAGAAACTTTTATAAATAAATCTTCCTTAAGGAATCACAATTAAGTGGCTTTAAAACACACCAAGTGACTCGCGTAGGCTCACCGAGCTATCGAGCCCAAACCATACTAGGATCCAGCTTGGCTTGGAAAATGATCCAAATCAACGCTCGGGATTAGCTAGCTTTTTAACAAGTCAATTGTCTCATATACCTCTAGGCGCAACTACTGCTGAATAGCAACATGAGCACTCTACTTTATTCAAACCATGATACATAAAAAGCTACTACAAGTAATTAAACCATATAATAAAATGTTCAGGTGACTTCGATTTGTAGCTGGTGCTTGGGTAACCAAACCAAACAAAACCGATTCGGTAAATCCCACACAGAATTAGGGTCTGGAGGTGATTGGTTTAAGCCACTGGTAACCTGGTCATCACGTCTACTTATGTATCAAGACACGGAAACATTTTTTCATGGGTAGCCTTCAGGTACCTGCTGCTAACTACAATCATGGCTGGTAAGGCACAAGGCACCCATTCCCCTTTGGGTGGCAAATACTTCCAGTATTAGCAATCCATTTATATTGTCAACATTAACATAAGATTACAATGTAATTTCATCAAATACAGATTGGATTCGAGAATATGAAAGTAACTCCGTTGCAGTCTATGTGAGAAGAAGTGTGGATAGATGAAGCAAAGAACTAATCTAGAAATCTATAACGAAAGAGATAGATGAAGAAGAAAATCAAGAATATACAAATACAACATGTCGAAGAACTCAAGAACAAGATTAAACCGAATCCACTGACCTCATTATAAGTGGTTCTTCCCTTGCTTTCCACTTTTTCACAGACTAGGCATGACAAAATCAAAAGAAAGCATAAACCCACATAGAAAATATCATGGTGTGGAAACATGAGTATTCTAAAAGTGCAAAATACATCAAAATGTAACAAAATTTGCCTTAATTCCTATTTAATGTAGCAAAGATTTATTTTTCTCAATCAATGTAACAAAGTTCCAAAATTTCCTATTTAATGTAACAAATTTTCCTATTTTCATCCATTTTCACTGCTATCCTGCTGATTTTGTAACATTTGATGGCGTAGATGTGAAGTTTATCATCCACTTCACTGTAACCCTTTTGTAAACATTTCGTAAACGAGTATTAACATCATCAAACGTTACAAGATCAGCATGTTAACGGTCAAATTTGGTACAAAATAGAAAATTTTGGAACTTTGTAACATCGATCAAGACAAAAAAAAAAAATCTTCGTTACGCTACATAGAAACTAAACCAAACTTTGTTGCATTTTCATGCATGTTTCCCTATTCCAAAACTAAAAAATAACCACTTCCCAGAAGAAGATAAAAAGGGACAAAGAACAAACCTTTCATGCTAAACTGGCGGAGTCCTCTACCACCTTTATCCCCTGCAGTTGTACGTTGACCTCGTCTCTTCTTTTTATTGCTGTTTAGAACCACTCATCAGTGAGCTATTAATTCCTAAGCAGTAGTATCATCAGACAAGAAATTTATTTGACTAATTAAGATAAAATAAACATGTTTATGGCTGATTATCAGCAGCATTTAAAACAGAAATTTCTAGGAAAATATAACGTAGACCTACACAAATGCTGAGAAAGAGCTGACACGGGGACCCACTCTTCTTGGAGAAAAAAATGCAACTCTTTTATCAACTATTTACCACCTCTTCTTTTAATCTCGTAAAACAAGTTAAGCTTCTTCCTCTTTTTGTTTTCTGTTTGGATCACATACAAGCTTAGCCGACTAAGAAACGGAGCTTAACCACTAAAACCAATGGACAACCTTACGTATCCTTTTGATCCCTCTTTCCACCATCGGCAAACCAAACAAAAACAAGTTCATCCAACAAAAACTACAACACTAATGATCCAAAAATGCTTTTTGCTCTAAATTTACCCTTTAAAAGGGTTGTACACGGGTCCAAAAGCCGAAGATGAAGTATGAGAAAGTACATGCTAAACCATCTCTAGAGCAATGGTAGAAGAAAAGTTAGCATCTTTGTGAAGGTAGGTCGGGTCTCGTAGTAATGCACAAATGGTTAGCAAGCAAGGCTTTCTAACCAACCAAAGGGTCATTGCCTGGTTTACCAGTGAACAACCTCTCTAGAGTTCAAGGGTTCAACCTCACCAAAGTTGAGGAGTCTACATGAGTATTTGCCATATATAATTATTCTATACTTTAAACAAAAGGCTTTCTAACTAGCCGGCTGCTGAAGCAAAACATCTAGAGTTGGTTGTACATGAGTTATCACACTTTCAAAGCCGGGTCAAGTAGGAACATCTATCTTATAGTGTCAGGTGGACAGGCATAACTCAATGTAAAAGTAACTCGATAGGAAATGAATCAGAAACACCGAGCCACCAATAACTGAAGCCTGAAATGATTTTCTCATCACAGTTCAGAAGCTAATTCGAACCCAAAGAACACCATATTATATGACAGTTTCAATTAGACATAACAAAACTTCCCCAAAATGCTTCCTACTAACCATAATAATCACATTTGGACAAGTTGTCTTCCTTTGGGTTCTTATATTCATCAAAAAAACCCCACCAAATTCTTAGCAATCAAAACCAAAGCTTCAAGAACAATGCATTCAGCACTTTACTTCTTCATGTTCGGTACTTTCCAAAATTAAATATGAATGTTTATTTGCAAAATTCACACTAAACTATTCATTCTGCAGTACATGTTATGAAGTAGGTAGCAAATTTCCTTCCAAATTTCAGAATTTCATGTCAATTTTGAAGTCAACGTATAGTTGCTGTTGATAATTGAAGGAGTATACAAAATAGAGTTGACCAAAAATTCTCACCCAGCAGCCCCTTGAGATCCAGCATCATCAGCGTGGATATCAAGGTGATTCAACCTCAAGAACGTATTTTCACTAGCAGGAGTCGCGGCCATTGCCGCCTCACTCCGGGTCGACGGCGACCCGACACTGCCACTTGTGGAAACGGATTGACCCGACGCCGTAGTGCCCCAAGACCGGGTCGCACCGCCTCCTCTCGAAAACGGGTTTGTATTCCCAACGACATTTTCCAGATTATCATTCGATCCCATCCTCACCATGAATACCCACGTAAATTCATCAAAGAGTTGGCAAATTGGAAAGATACCCAGATGAAAATAAACCGAATTAGATCTGAATTTCGAAGGAAGAGGTCAAGGGTTTACACATGAGACAAAGAAATGGAAAGATTCCACCTCTGTCTACAGAAGTGGCTTTCTTTCCACAAAGATGAAAAAGGAAAGGGAGTGAAATTGCAGAGTTTGATGGTGATTTCGATGGTGGATTCTGTAACGTGTTGATCAGAAGTGTATAAGGTGAGGTGTGTGAGGTTCAAGGGGAAGGAGGGAAATCCAACGAGGGTTTGTACAAATTTCTTTTTTTATTCAATTTTATTTAATTCTACCACTTTTTATCATAATTCATAAACAAGCAGCCATTTGCCACATAATCTTCATTTTAAAGCCAAATCTTGAGTGGTAGGTCTGTTTCGTTGAAATCTAAGCACAATTTCAAGAAATTCCAATCCAAATTCCTGTTTGATCGTCCACTACCACCTCCATTATCTATACTATATTTTAAAGTATTTGAGAAAAACTCTTAAAAACTATTTTTTATACATAAAGTATTGTTTATTAATGCATATTATTTAAAACTCAAGATTACAAGTAGATTGTGCATAAATACAACTTATTAAAGTTTCATATCTTAATTTCTGTAATTAACTATAGATAAACATAATCAAAAAGAGGATAAACATCTTAGTTTAAATATAAAAAATCTAAAATATAATTAGGATAATCATTAAGTTCTAACCAGAATACTTAATTATTATCTTTATAAAATGTTATATTATTAAACCAAAAATAAATTAAAGAAATTACATAAAAATGAGAACTTTTAAATAGTTCATTTGATATTAACATTGATATATTTTTTTTCACATTTTTATGATATTTTCAAATTTATATTTTATTCAAAAATAAAATCATTATTGTTTTTTTTAAAACACATAAAATCGTATCATAACATCGATATGAACAAATAATAAAATAGAACATTAAAATCAAGATGTGTATTGCTGCATTGTGCGAGTACTCGTCTAGTTCTCTTTAATGAACCAAACAGAAAAACTGACAAATTCCAATGAAATTCTTGTTAATCACATATATGATCAAACATGATAAAATTCACTCCAATTTCTTCATATTTTAATTTCTTTGACAGATTCCAATTCCGACATATTACATTATGTGAACCAAACACCAATAATTTGTCTTTTCAATTATTTTTTTACTCTCCTATCAATTTTGTGTTTATGGTTTTTAATTGTAGGTTGATTAAAATAATTAATCATTAGTTTAATTATATATTAAAAAATTCTATTGTTTTACCAAAAATTATGTCTGAAAAAATATTAAAAAATTCTATTGTTTTACCAAAAAAATTCTATTGATAATATGATTTATAAATGAAAAAAGAAAAAAAAAACAGACAATTATTATTCTTTTTGCAGTACTGAACATGAAGTTATATTGTGTTACATTATTGTATAAAAAGTGACAGTGTCAATGTCAGCATAATATTCCTTTTAAGATTAACGAGAAATCTATACGTGACATCTCATACTGAATTTTGAACAGTAGAAGATGATAATCTTATGAAGTAAAACCGATATATTTTGTTTTATATGTTTATCCAGATTGCCATATCGATCTTCATTTGCAACAAAATCTGTATATTAGTAAATATGCTTATCAAGGTACCATAAATAAATCATAATTAAATTATTAATTACAAATTTTTTTAAATTTTTATATATTAGGTTACAAAAACATTTACTAGATATTTCTTTAACTAGATTTAAAACTGAAATAATTTAATGAGTAAATTATGTTTTTCATCCTTGTGGTTTGTGAAAATTTGCGGTTTTTATCCATGTGATTTAAAAATTACAATTTTCGTCTATATAATTTGTAATTTATTATTATTTTCATCTTTTATTGGATTTTATAATTTATTGTTGTTTAGGTCATTGTGCCACGGATGAAAACAATAATAAATTACAAACCATAAAATTGAAATCACAATTATTAAATTATAGGGACACAATTTGGAAATATTAATAAATCACAGGGATGACAATCATAATTTACTCCAATTTAATTATTAAACTCACAATAAATAGTATATGGTTTTTGCCTAAACACTAAACCCTAAACCTCATTTCTTCTGACGGATGTATGCATGTATGGTAAAAGTCTGATCCTATATAATTTGCTTTTGCAGCGTTTAAGATTGACAAAAAATAATTGTTGTCAGACAAATTTAAAGCTACCATACTTGAAAAATTATATCATTTGATATTAAAATTATAACTTTTTATCTGTTATTAAATTATATATCAAATTAAACTATGTTTGCTTATAAACTTATTAAAGAGGTCATTGAAAATATAGAAATTTGTCCTCTTGGATTTCTTTTTCTACCATTTGGGTCGTTAACAAAATTTTACATCTATCTTAATGAAGAAAAAAAAAGTCAAATTAGTTTGACTACATTGACCATCGCACCACTGCATATCTCAGCTTGAACTCATGACCACCAAGATCTGTAATCCTTTCTCGGTTACAGTTGAATTACCTTAGAACAACAATTATACAAAAAAGTGTTGCTGGAACACAAGAACCAACCTCCTGATCAAATTTGCTTAATTTAGCATTCCATGTCAACTACGATTAAGATTTCATGTAATGACTTAACGTTTTTAATATATGTTTTAATTAAAATGAAATGGTATCAAAATATGTATGTATTTTTTTTCCCTTGGGAAAGATAAAGTGTACATCTCCTTTTTAGATCATTTGACAACTTGTATTTCAAGTAAAGAATAATGTAACCCCACTTTTGTATCAATAAATGTTTTCCAATACATACACTTTCATAGGTTATATAATTAAAAGCCATAAAGCCTTTTATTCTTTCATAAATTTTGGGTGAATAATAACTGAATAAAAGACAACATAACTTCTTCTGAATATATGAAAAGGAAAAATTGTCTGCGGAGAGAAAATAAGCAAATCAAACAAACCCAGTATATTTCACTTGAAAGTAAGATTTAAAGGATAGGATGTATATAGACATGTCCTCTACCCAAAAAGTATAACAAGTATACTATTTCCTTTGAGACTCGAGTTATGCAAAAGCGAACAAAAAGGGAAAAAAGAACCCGTAAATCAAAATAAGAACAAAAGAAATAGACACATTGAAACATATAAAAAGCAGGAGTCCCACTATCAACTTCTAACTCTCTTTCTTCTTATCCACAGTGGCTACAAGTATCTACATGCCTAAGTCTACTATCGTAGATATGTGTATTCAAGAACTCCTACCAGATAGCTAGATGTCATGTTCTCGGAAATGTCTAACGTCGACTGTCACACTTTCTACTGTCCACACCAACGGCACCATCTGTCTCTTGCAAACATGTCCAAACCATCACAATCTTTCCTCTCTCAATTGGGAACAAAATGAAGATATAAAATTTCTACCACGTAAGTGAAGGTTACAACCAACAAAAAACATAAAGAACCTAAAAAGAGGGTAACAACCGATACAAATCACTTGCTTTTTAAGCTTAAGCTACAGACATGTCTATACATAATATAATCCGAAGCAAAGTCAATTTATGCAAGGATTTTTTGAAACAGATGTAGTCATGTAGATATAAGAGGGAGAAACAATGAATATTCGTACCAAAGGGTCTTTGGCCTAACGATATCGGAGCCTTTGCATTTGCCGTATATAAATATTATATACTTAAAGAAAACATTGCATAGATTCATCATAGTTATACAATAGTAATCTGTATCTCCTTGTTGCTCAAACATAATGTCATACATCAAATATTTTGAATTATGTATACACGTATTCATTTATAGCATATTGTTTTTATAACTATGATATCTCACATTTTGGGTATAACTATTTAATGGGATTCATGAAAAATGAGTTGTCTACATGAGCTAACAAATTTCAAACTTTCCAAATCCACAATGCAGCCATGATTAGCACCTAATGGGATAAAGGGTTGATAGAACAAGTGTGTGCACCACTACTTTATCTCATATTGAGAATCATAAATATTTTGAGAACTGTGAGAACCGACTATTCATTAAATTATTCATGATGATTATCTTGATAGATATTCATGAGGAATATCATGAATAATTCATGAATTGTTGGTTCTCGCGTTTCAGTTATACCATACAAGCCTAAACCGTCAAACTATATAAGAAATGAACTCCAAATGGCACCAACAAGTACAGAGAGTAAACTCACAAATAGAAACCAATTTTTGAGCAAAGAAATGCATAACAGAGTTTCACTTTTGTAAACTTCATAAAGGACCAAGAGAGTTGATTTGACCACAAAGAACACTTGAAACCATTTGAAGTCACCAACTCTACATACACTTTGTATGAACTTACTGCAGATTTCGATGGACTAATGGATTTAAAACTTGATGCCTTCCCTGTGGTCGGTCAATGGACTGAGGCGTGATACGTTTTACCAAAGTCGTGCAGACCTCAAACTCGAGTTAGCAGATCAATTTGCATGTCATTGAAGAATACAAGATGCACCAGAAATAGGCCATATTAATTTTCCGAAGATGTTGGTTAGGGGATGATTATTTGCATTTAAGAATGTTTTTTTGGGAAATGGTTGATCCCAGGCTTTGCAGATTAATCTCATGGCAAGTCACGACTGTAGGCTTCGCCCACAGCCCTAAGGTAAATCTCTCGGTTGCCAGAAGTGCATATGTAGATGGCATTTAAGAATGTTATTAGCATAGAAAATGCCACAATGGATTGACTAGTCAAAGTCAAACACAATTAGATGGTATGCTTGGAACAGTTGAACTTGTAAATCCATGATGAAAATCTAACAGATGACAAGAAGCAACTTATAGGATAAAAAAGCTAATATGACAGTCAAGAGTTTGGATGTCTAAGAAGATTAAAGAGTGCTCATCTTATACAATGAAGCAATAAATGATTTAATCGAAAAATAAAATCATATGAGGTTTCGGAACACCAAATTGTTTCATGGGCTCTATTAAGATGAATTTTAATGGTGGAATGGTACAGCACGTGAAAATGACAAACTGCAGCAATGTTAATACCGTAATAGTTTACATGGAAGTGAACTTGAAGAGGGTCAATTTCAATTTGCCCAAAAATGACTTAACAAAATGATTTAAGTTGGAAATCTATGCCAACCACCAAAGCTACCACCCAACTCAATACAATCACTTTGTAAGGATTTAGATGCAATAATCTAACACTGTCTTTCTTCATAATCACTCTCTCTTCAAAGAAGGAAAAAAATGGTGATTCTGTTGTTATAGATTTACTCTACTCTCTATATCCCATGGATTACAACTATATTCTTTATGGATTGTCCCACCAAGCATTGTTTCTTTTTTGGCTCATTTTCAACCTAATGTTACCTATTTGTTTGTTGTATTGATTTAGGTCCAGAAATTATTGTTGAAAGGTATTTTAGAGATCTAACTTTACAGCAAACACTTTTATTAGACTATGTGTGAAGTAACATGTTATAGTTTTCTTAGGATAAAGTACAAATAACAAGATGATGTAAAACAAAGAAAGGGAACTGAACCCGATTTTAAGAAGAAAAGGGAAAAAGATTCAAGGAAACAGAAATACAAATGAATCCAACAAGATTGAAGCTTAACATAAATTATAATCATATGGGCAGAAGGCTAGAAAGTGAGTAGATACAACAGAGATAAGTAAATGTGCTTATTAAAAGACAGATGAGTTCTTAGTTCCACAAAACTATGGGCAGAAGTCTTGGTACTTACCTTTTTTCTCACCCTTTTTGCACAAGGCCGGGGGTCTCATAGAAACAATTGTTCTACCCTTTGGGGTAGAGGACAGGTCCGCGTACTCCCCCCTTCCCCCCGGGACCCTACTTCTGAGTTGGATATATTAGGTTTGTCTGGTTCAGAGATGGGAAAATGTGTAAGTCATTGTAGCTCATCTGATCATGTGGAAGGGAAAGGAATGAAATCTAGACCAACAACAGAAGTTACTACAAAAATTATATAAAAGCCCGTTATTCTGTGCATCTTTAGAACACTAGTCAAAACACTCAAATGTCAATAACCGGATTCTAAATAGGATGTGATAACCTAACAATTATACAAAAGGAAATAACATGTATGGTAAATATAATATTCCTTTAAAATCGTCTTAGTAGGAACCTATATATGTTTAGCATCAATCAAGGACAGTATGACCTTAAATTACTTCCGTACATATTCTTAAAAAATGGTTCACTTTCAATATCAAGCATTTCTTAATTAGAAATTGACCCAGAATTACATATTTATCTTCTGAATAAACTTGACAAAGAGCTTATGGTATGACTAAGATACATGCAGGATAGCTAATCACTTACGTATCCAAGATGTTGATGAGCAAATTGGTCGGTGAGACAGCTGGCAAACGAGATGAAGTATTAAACCTTTGATAGCGTTATCAAACTTGAATGCACACTAATCATGTGTTACACGTAAAAATGTGGACTAAAAATAGATGTCTTCTGAGATACTACGTGAGCATTAAGATAACGCAATGAATTCGTCAATTACGACAAAAATCCAGCAAGTCATTTTAAATTTTTCTATTTATAATTGCACTTTCCAATTTAGCACCTTATCGCTACCCTTCTAAATTTTCCACTTCATTGAATCAGAGGCAAGAGATATTAGCATGCCATTAAAGTACTAGTACATAGACTAATTAACATTTATATGTGACTAAACACTTCCATCTACTTTAGCTTCCAATTTCATAGATTTATGGGCTTAACATGCATTTTTAGTCTAAAGCAATTGAAAATATGGGCAAAACAGAAGACTCAATTTATTACCTTAAACAGATATAAGTGACTTGAATACTGTCAACATCATTGTCGGCGGGAAAGGCCAGAGTTCCAGCTAGCGTGTTCATACTTCATAGCACATTTGCTTGCACGTAGCCTCTGTGTGTGTCTATCTCTGTCAAGACCCTCATTTTTAACGGTTCACTCAATGCACAAGAATCTTCCACATAAGCCCAGAGTTGTGTCACCATCTTTTGCTTAAGCTTGAGCCTTTTCTATTTAAGGCATAGCTTCAATCTTCCCGAGTACCCATTGATGCACCTCCTGTATCAATCCATTGCCCCCTTCTCTTAAGTGCTTCCCTCTCTATCTGGCTCTGAAGTGTTCCTGTTTCACAACGACATTTCACCATGAGAAATTTGTTTCACAGAGAGCCTGAGGTGAATGCGAATTATGACTTTACAGGCAGTTCCAGTGATGTCTGGCAGCATATACGGGTTTCAATGGTGATGCCGCCACTGACTGTTGCAATTTGTATATGTGCGGTGATGTCTCTAATGATGTTCATAGAACGAGTTTACATGACTGTTGTAGTGCTTTTGGTGAAGTTCATGGGCAAGAAAAAGTACACCCAGTATAAGTTGGAAGCACTGAAAGAAGATCTAGAGCAGAATAGAAGTTACCCCATGGTGTTGGTTCAAGTACCTATGTACAACGAAAAAGAGGTATACATGTTTCTGGTACACATCACACAAATATATAATATATGCTTCGGTGCATAAACTTCATAATATAACTTATTTTAGTTTATAAAGAACGAACAAATCAAGAAATTTATGTATGTCTATTCATTATCATTTTCAATATTAAAAATTTGGCTGCTGATTTTGATGATGACAGACAGCATAAGAGATATCGCATAGCAGAAAACATTGCAATATTTCAGATTTCACATGTCCTTTAAGAATAATCAGTAATTTATCTGAAAAGAATATATCTCAGACACAAACAAGTGTTTTCTTCTTAGTAATTACTATGAATATCCACCCTGACTTGATAATTAGTGCCCTGATTCTTTGCTTATCCAGGTTTAGCCTATGTATACATGCATATTATAGAAATTTCAATCCATTATAGAAGCACAAATGTATATATATACATACATCTTGTAGTTCCCATATAAAATAAACATTATAAGAACAGCTTAAAATCTCCATATCTAAAGTACCACAAAAGATACTATGGTTTAACAAGACAAGTTAAATATAGGTCCCACATTGTTCAAATTAACAATGGAACATTCATATATAATCCATAACAAGCGAACATTGTTCTTCTTTTTCCATTTTTCTTGTGTCAAATACTGTGAGCATTGACCATGTTTTCTACTCCTGAAACATTATAATAGAAACCAATATTCGTGTTATCTTGCTTAGTTTAATAGTTTATGTCTATAGTATAGTTACTAGTTAGAAAACTGATTATGATCCAACAATTTTGTTTGAGTACTTGTTTCTTCTTATAATAACTGCAAGAATGACTAAGAATAGTGGGTAAACACAAGAGGCATAATTGTCTATAGTGTCTTTAATTACCCAACAAACCTGATAAAATTGCAGGACAATGATTTTTTCTGATTACAAGCTTCAAACTGCATAGAACGAAAGAAACCCAATCTGATTTATAATTTATATTTGTTTTAATTAGACTAATTTACTTTACGCCAAAAGACTGTTATCCTCATCTCATCCCTCTCAATAAATTCTATAACTTCTAAGTAAACCTCAAATGTTGGATCAAAACTCATGTTGCATGGAGGAATTTGCTTAGATCACCCAGATATCTACTTCGTGTACTCCTAAACTGAAACAACCTCCAAAAATATTTTTATGCGATGGAAGCAGAAGAAGGCTTATGTGCTCCTTGATAAAAACCATTGTATCTGCAGGTCTGATATCCATCTACAGTTCTGTACTAACTCACTTTTTTATCAGGTCTACAAGCTCTCCATTGGAGCTGTGTGTTCACTTACATGGCCATCCGACCGACTCATTGTGCAGGTTCTTGATGACTCCACCAATGAAATCCTAAGGGTAACCCTCAACCACACTTCAATAGTTCAAGAACTCGATATGAAGTGGTTATTTATCAACAAACTCATTAGTTGTATGCAGGCACTGGTAGAGTTGGAGTGCAAAAAGTGGATACAGAGAGGAGTGAATGTCAAATATGAGACAAGGAACAACAGAAATGGATACAAGGCTGGTGCTCTTCGTGAAGGTTTAGATAAAGATTATGTGTTCGATTGCGAATTTGTTGTCATCTTTGATGCAGATTTCCAACCAGAGGAAGACTTTCTTTGGCGGACTGTACCTTATCTTCTTGAAAATCCAGAATTGGCTTTGGTTCAGGCTCGATGGAAATTTGGTAAGGCTTATTCATTTCTTTTATACGCCCCATTTTGCCACTTTGGTACCCAAATCAAAATATAGACTCTCGATAGTATGAGCTTTTAAGCTACTAAAGAAAGACAAGCAAGAATAAACTGCTTCGGACCACTAAGGTTTCAGTTCAACTTCATTTGTACTTTTAGATATATAATATACTAGTTGTGTACCCGTGCAATACGGCAGGAGCCATAAATTTTAATGATTTTGAAGTTCTACTGGTTTTATAAGATAAGATTTAACGATGATATAAGTTACGATTGGTCTTTACATATTAATACAATTTGAATAAATAAGAGTTATGGTTCCAATTACAGATTATCGATGAAAAAATTGTATGACAATTTAAAATCCAATATATTTAAAATCCAACATATTTAAATGACTCCACAAATGTATTCAATTTACACCAAGAGCAAAGAACCAAGAAACTTGAGTTTTAAGATAAACACTCAAAACAAATAAAAAAACTACAAATTTGACAGATCATAAGCCATGAAAAGACAAAAAAAAATGGGTTTTAGAATGAAATTTCAACTGCTTACCCTCTTTCTTGTCTATAAACTCAGATTAAAGTTGAATTAATACACGTATATATATATTTCAAAAAAACCCAAGAACATATTAATTCAAAACATATTATACAGTATAATTTGGACAGCCTAACCCCAAAATATATAGTATATATATATATATATATAAATAACTATAAAAGTATAAATCGTAAATATTAAAAATATTCTTTCACAGTATATATAATATATAATAATATAATTAAGTAAAAAACTATTCAATATTGGACTCATTTCGAAAGTATTAAYGAGACGATTATAATGGTGTAACTTGTTAAAATAAAAATRTATTTTTTWAACATGTTTTAATTGATATACGATTATGTATGTTAATTTGATAAAAGTTTAAAATGAAACATTTAAAAGTGAAAGGCGTAAAGTAAATTAATTAAAATGAAACATTTAAAATGTTTAAAATGAAACATTTAAAGTATAAATTTAAAATTATAATTTTAAAAAAATCGGTTGTGAGATGGTGAATGCATGTGAGGGGGTGAGTGTATGTGAGGAGAAGAGGGGGTGAAAAGGTGAAAAAGTAAATATAAAGGGTATTTTGGTCATTTAGAATTTTAAGATTTTAATATTTTTGCCAAATTTGCTTAATAAGATGGTATAGATTATAACTAACATAAGTTCTCTATAGTAAATGCGGATGAGTGCCTCATGACCCGACTCCAAGAAATGTCACTAGCCTATCATTTCACTGTTGAGCAAGAAGTGGGATCTTCAACTTGTCAGTTTTTTGGGTTCAATGGTAAGCCAGAATTCAAAAAAAAGAATTCCTCACACTCAAAAGTGATTCCAGCATGTCTGACTGGAGGAAAACAGCTTTAAATGAATTCACATGGAACTCTTATGACATCAGGGACTGCTGGCATTTGGCGTATAAAAGCGATCGAAGACGCTGGTGGCTGGAAAGATCGAACCACTGTAGAGGACATGGATCTTGCCGTTAGAGCCAGCCTCAAGGGGTGGAAATTTGTCTTTGTGGGGGACTTAGAGGTGGGTTCCATATCCAATATGAACTTTTTGAATCCAATGAATATCTCTACAGCAATAAACAACTAAAATATTACATAGGTAAAAAACGAACTACCAAGTACCTTTAAAGCTTATCGATATCAACAGCATCGATGGTCATGTGGTCCAGCTAATCTGTTCAGAAAAATGACCAAGGAAATCATCTTTTGCGAGGTACAATGGCATGAACTTTTTCTTTACCTTAACAAGTGTCGATATTAGACAGACATGGCATTTACAAATGATTCCATGCATCTTACCTTACGCAGAGGGTATCCATCTGGAAGAAACTCCATGTCATCTATGCATTCTTCTTTGTAAGGAAGATAATAGCACATTGGGTCACCTTTTTCTTTTACTGTGTAATTATCCCAATATGCATCATGGTTCCTGAAGTCCATCTTCCAAAACCGATAGCAATATATGTTCCAGCAACAATTACTATTCTGAACTCATCGTGCACCCTAAGGTAATGGATCTCAAGATAGACAAAAAGAACCTATGAAACTAAAGTATTCAGCATTTTTAAAAAGATTAATAGTTAAATCCCATCCCATCTTTCTTGGCACAGGTCATTGCATCTTCTTGTCTTCTGGATCCTGTTTGAGAATGTCATGTCTTTTCATCGATCTAAGGCGACAATTATCGGACTCCTAGGAGCCAACCGAGTCAACGAATGGGTTGTGACTGAAAAGCTAGGGAACGCAACAAAGCAAAAAAGCAATGTCAAGCCAATAAAGAAAGCACGATCACGCTTTGGAGAAAGGTATTTTCTAGCAAAAGATCTCATCACGTCTGAATGAAAATTATTCAGTCAACAAATGATGATTTGACTAGCATCTATATATCTAATGTCTAACTGAATTACCACATGCATAATGCTAATACTTTGCTATGACATACAGGCTTCACTTCTCGGAGTTGATTATGGGATTGTTCCTGTTATATGTAGCTATCTACGACATGCTCTTTGGGAAGGATCATATGTTTGTTTATCTCCTACTGCAATCCGGTGCATTCTTTGTCGTCGGAGTTGGGTATGTAGGTATATCTGTCTCCAACTAGAGCAGCACACTGGTTGATTACGTTTTATAGATTTGTGTCTATCTAGCAGAATATGAGCCTCTATGTTCATCAGAAAGTTGAAGGGAACTGTGCAAGTGCTCAAGATAGGGGGCGACACTTAAAAGAGCACAAGAGGAGCAGTACTATGGATAGTGGTGTAGTGTAGTTAGTTTAATCTTTAGCATGTATTCCTGAATAAAGTTCTTAGACCATCCACATCCCTGCAATTCATTTACACTTTCAATTGTGCCACATCAGCTTTTGCAATTATCTTCCACACACCTGCAATTCACCTATAACACTTTCAACTGTGCCACGTCACCTACACTTTCAAAAATGGTCCCCACTACAATATTTATTAACTATTTTATAAATTATTTATATATACATTCTAATTATTTTTTAATTAATAACATGTTTTATTTTAATTCAAT